TAATTTACACTAACTAAATATGGACCCAGCTTGGAAGGGGTAATGAGTAGTATTTTAGAAATTTGGAGTATGAGGTACTGATGAAATACCGTGTAAAAATATCCCTTAGGCAGTTAGATTTATGTGACTGGAGTTCAAGGTAAAAGTCAGAGATGTACCCATCAATTTAAGACTCACCAGCATGTAGGTCATGATTAAAGCTGTGGATAAGCTTGCCCGAGAGTGAGAAGAAAAAGGGCAGAGGGTACAATTTTGGAAAGCTCCAATATTCATGATATAAATAGAGAGAGGCTAAAAAGAAATGACCAAAGAGATAAGAGAATTAGAAGAGTTTGGTGATGATATTTCCATGGAAAAGATGTGATTTTTATTCTTAAAGCATTCCCAATGTATTTAGGTTAAATCATATCCATTAAAAAAAGAAGAAAGAAAAAAGAAAGAGAAGAAGGAAGAGGAGGGTGAGGGAAAGGGGGAGATCTATTTCAACTTCACGCATTTCAATTTTTATTTCTTTTTTATCCTTGATATTTTTGATCAACTTTATCATGCTACTATGTTGCTTAACTCTAGGGGGCATTATTCACTATATATATTTTATTCACTATAAAATTTAAAAATTTTTTTCACATACATATGATTTTATTTATTTATTTTTAGAGAGAGGGGAAGGGAAGGAGAAAGAGAGGGAGAGAAACATCAATGCGTGGTTGCCATCCGTGCGCCCCCCACTGGGGACCTGGCCCACAACACAGGCATGTGCCCTGACTTGGAATTGAACTGATGACACTTTGCTTTGCAGTCTGGTGCTCAATCCACTGAGCCATACTAGCCAGGGTTAATTTTTATTTCTTATGAAGTACCCCTACTGTATACCCCAGAGGATTTTCGTATTTACGTCATAATTTGGGAGAAACCTACCTCAAAAATTGTTTTGCCATGAAAAGCCAAGAAATTTGATATATATGAAACTAAGGATGCTAGACTACTCCTCATATCATTAAAAGAAAAAAAGAAGAAGTAGTAGTGTTTGCTGTCTGAAAATTAAATAGAAAATAGAATGAACAAAATTCATAATATTTTGTTTTAGGTAATTTTTTTACTGGAGTCAGGTTGACTGGACTTTATAGCCACCTAAGGACACTTTTAGTGCTTCAGCAGCTCAGTTCCACTTCTTCAGAAATATATTTAGCCATCAATTGGAAAGCCACTCTCTAAAAACGTAGTACTATGTGGGGAAATAACTCATCGAACTTCTTTCGAATCTCCTCCATATATACCTTGTAATGAAGTTACTCTTCCTTGAAGGATCTTAGACTTCGAACCAGAAACCTTGCTATGAAATCAGCTTCCATGGAATGATCAAGCCTCATAAAAGTCACTGAGATAGTGTAGGCATTCCCATAACCAGCACAAAATTAAGTTTCATAAGATTGTTTTAAAGATGTGGATGCAAATGCCTGTACTTACAGAAATGGAGCATGTAGAGAAAAAGGCACTTGGAGAAGCTGGTCACCGCTATCCTTCCCCCTCTGTGCCACATGGCAGCTAACCAGCTCAGTGTCTACTTGGTTCTTCAGCATTTCCAATGAAGGCAATTCGGAAGTTCTGCCATGATGATGCTCATTGGGGAATATTTCTAAAATCTAGTGGATGGCAAAGGGACTTTCTCCTGGAATTCTTGATTCATCAGGCTTTCAACTCCATTGTCCTTTTTGCTTTCTTTGTATAATTCAGTAATATATTTTAAAAAATTTTTTATTGTTCAATTACAGTTGTCCCCATTTTTCTCCCATTGCTCTCCCCTGTCCCACCCACACTCACTTTCCCATATTTGATCCTCCCCCCTCCCCACTCTGTTGTCCTTGTCCTTGAGTCCTTTATATATGTTCCTTGACTTGACTCTCCCCCTTCTTTACCCCATACCCCTCTCCCCGCTCCAATCTAGTAACTGTGAGTTTGTCCTTTATTTCCATATCTCTGGTTCTATTTTGCTCTCCTGTTTGTTTTGTTGATTAGGTCCTTCTTATAGGTGAGATCATATGGTATTTGTCTTTCACCACCTGACTTATTTCACTTAGCATAATACTCTCTAGCTCCATCCCTGCTGTCGAAAAGCATAGGAGTTCCTTCTTTTTTCCTGCTGCATAGTATTTCATTATATAAATGTACCACAGTGTTTTCATCCACTCATTTATAATTCAGTAATATCTTTATTCACATTGAACCAGGTTATCACATTGACTTTGTGGCCAAATGGAATGAAATAAAATAAGCCATGTGTTTAAAATGCATTGATTCATATTTCCCTAGTTTTCAATTCCACAATGATATGCTTTGATTTCCTATTTGCTGGGGAGGTATAACAGGAAGAACTATGGATTTTAACAATCTTATAAAGTCTAATATAAACATTGGAATGGTGATAGAAAGAGACGTGACTTGGAGTGGTAAACATATAATACGATATACAGATGATGTATTATAGAATTGTACACTTGAAACTTATATCATTGTATTAACCAATGTCACCCCAATAATTTCAATGAAAAAGTTAAGAATAATAATAAAAAACAAAAATTATTTTGACAATAAAATAAATAAAAATAATAAACATATTGGTATTACAGAAGGCATATTTAAATAGAAAATATTGTACTGGTTCTAATTGCTCCCTCCAGATCATTCTGGGAAGCTTTGTGCTGACAATAGAAATTAGCAGTTTTTAAAATATTTGCCATGTGACTTTCCGCTACCTGCTATTTCATTTTGTGTTAAATATGTCTTAAATAATGGGCTAATGTGTACCCTTCTTTTATAATATTTGCTTGAATGTCAGTTTACCTGTTTGTTTTGTAAAGATGAAATAGTTTTACAGTGATTCTGAAAATACTTGGGGAAAAAATTTCTGTGACTTCTGCTAACAGAGCTATTAACAAGGCCATCTACAAAAAAAAGAAATTATTTTAAAATTGCAGGTCCTAGCTCTGTTTTTCATATGGTGATAAATACTGCTGAATTGATATAAAGCTATACTGTCTGTTCAGGAATAATAGCCAAAATATTTCTGAAGCAGGAGGGCAGGGTTACTGCCCTGTTGGAATGGGCACTGGCCTTAGGTCAGGAGCAGAGTCCTGGTCAAGGTGTTAACCCTTTAGGTGCTGGGCGGTAGATGAGTCAGGGTGCTAGCTGCAGGGCAGCACTAGAAGGCTTAGGACAGCAGCCGTATAACATCATTTAATACTGTGACAGCCAGTACTGCCAGACCAGGACATCCTGGCTAATTTCAGCTGCATGTAATATCCAAGATTGTAGGTGACTTTTTTTTTTGGATGTTGATAAATATGGAGACCTCAATGGTATGAAATCATGTCTGGGTCTTCCACGCTGTTTGTTTGTAAGGCTTCTGGGTATTTATTTGATAGAGGTGGCACAGGAGGCAAAGGGGAGACTCAGAGTGGTGTCACTGAGTTGATGGATCTTGTCCACTGGACAGAAGGTGCCCTGAAATGCATGGGGTCAACTACATCAGTAAGAACCAGTTCTTATCTTCCTATTGTATCCCCATCACCTACACTTCCTGACAGTTAATAAAAAATTAATAAATGGCTAGAGGTGAATGCCAGGCTGTTTCAAATTGTACATTTCATTATTGTTCAGGTATGGTAAGGCTAACAGATTAGCAGACCATAGTCAGTCCGGTTCCCAAGAGGAGAGGGAGGACACATCACTCCATGGAAGGGCCACACAGGGGAGCACCAGAGCCAGTCAGAGGCAGGGGGCATTGTGATTTCTGTGGGAAAAAAAACAGAGAAGCAGGGTACACAAGCTTAGGATTGGCTATTTTGGATAATTTCTGTGAGCTCTCAGGTGTAGGGGCCGCTTCTAGTTATCTTGTACCTGGCACTAAAGTGGTTAGGCAGGTGGATAGTGGCCCTGAGTGTGATACTGTAGAGGAGGTGATGGGTGTATGGACTTGGGACTGATTAGCAGGCACACCAAAGGCGTGCTAACAGGAGCAGTCTCTCCAGGGTCGCCAGGGCTCCTGATGTCAAAGCATCAGAAATACAGACAGTAAAAAAGCATCATGAATGCACTGGCCACACTTGGGAAATGATGCGAATATCGCTTTTATCCTTTAAGGTCTAATGTAGGCAAGCAGAGATGTTTCTCTTTGCTCCCACATTTCTTGTTACACCTATGTGTACTTGTAGCATAGTATATAATGGCAATAATTATAGCTAAGATTTATTAAACCCTCACTGTGTGTTTAGCATTAGAATGATAACTTTACATGCATCAACCCAATTAGTGTCCACAGCATCCCATGCAGTATGCATAATTTATATTCTCATTTTATACATGAGGAACCAGGAGCCTTGAGAAATTACATAACTTAGTCAAGGTCACATAGAGTGGCTATGTGATGCTTTTACTCTGTGTGCTATATTCTGTCTCCCATTCATTTTAGTCTAGTTACTTGCTTCTGAGTCTGTTGATACCGGTAGCTTCAGCAGTGCAAAATGTTGCCAGTTCTTCTCACCTTTGTATGTCCAGTCTCCATCAGAGGGCATGCACCATGTAAGCCTTCGTGGAGTCAAAGAGCAAAGTTTCCACCACCTTCCTTTTGAATTTGAGCAGCCTGATAAACAGCTCATTGTCTAGGTGGAGTAGCTGTCCTGGGAGAAAGAAAACATGTTTTATGGCTTCCTGTTCTTTATTTGACATTCTCTGAGAATGGGAACTTGGGAAGAAAGAAATGTATGACTCTGCAAATGGTTATTTCTGTTTTGTGGCATTTATGCCTTACTTAATCTGGGTCCCACAGATGCTTGCTTTGTAGGACATGGCCTTTAGAAAGAAGTGTGTGAGATGTGTCCTTGGGAAAATGAAATGAATGTGTAGAATGTGTTTCAACCCAGGAATGCTAACGGGCAAGACAGAGCTCCCACACTTGTCATTTAGTGGCTTTCCTGATTGTCTCTTCTGCTTTATCTTCCCAGCTTGCCACCAATCCTGTTTCGGGTGTGCAGGGAGAAGCCCGCATAACTGCACAGCCTGCTGGCCTTCCCATGTGCTGATGGATGGGCAGTGCCTCTCCCACTGCCCAGATGGATACTTTAACCAGGAAGGCAGTTGTATAGGTGAGTGGGCAACATGCTGGGGCATATTCCCTAGACCCCTGTTTTGTCTTTATAATGCAGTCAGACTCTGTAATTAGAAACCTTGTCATACCACGGGACTGAGGGTTGGACTGTAAATCCTTCTCTTGAACTTATAGGAGTAAATTCAGCTCTTCCAATAAGGAAATATGAAAGAAGTGAAAAATTAGAATCAGCTTTACCCTGTGCACGCAGTGAGGGGTGGATTTGATGGCAGGCATCACGGAGACAAAGTGCCGCGGGCTCTGACGCATTTGTGTAGGGTCGGGTATTTGACGTGGCCTCTGCGGTTCTCAGCCCCACTTTCCCTGGCTTCAGCCTAATAAAGCGAAAGGAGAGGGAGGTACTAATTTTTTTCTTTGACAAGTCAGTGCCATGTTCTTAACAGCACTTTATATTTCAGTGGCAGAGATTCTAGAAATTACTAGCTGAGATTAGTGCAGGGTTTTATTGGAATTGACAAAATACTACCATTTAAGCACCTCGTTTTAGCACTGTGTTTTCTTGTATCTATGGCGGGGGGGGAAGGACTAAACACATTCTATCATGGTTACTATTTTATTTCTAATAATAGACTTGTTGACACCAGCTAAAAGGAAAAAGCACAGGGTTATGAAATTGTATTACATATATTTCTAGAGTCAGAAAACGTGATGAATTTATAAAGTATTTTTAAAATAAACCAATACTTGTTAGATTCATCTATCCTCAAACCCCAAAGAGGAAATTTAATGTAACCCCAGATTTGGATGCAGTTTTTCCAAGTACCTTTTTGATTTCTCTAGGCCCCTGATGGGTGGTGTTCCTTTAAACTCTAGATCGCGCTCAGCGGGGAGTGTTCCTGGTTCGTCATTGACAATGTCCTTGAAAACCATTGTCTGTCCCTGTGTGCTTTCACAGTAGCCCAGTTGCCGTGTGTGTGGAAAGCTGTTTGGGAGGGCCCAGTCTGGGTCGCTCTAAGTCTGCTTTGCCTCCCCCTGGGTGAAGCCAGCAGGTGGATGGTACTGCGAGCGCCAGGGCCACCGGGTCGCTGGAAATATTTGGGGAGGTAGAAACCTTCTGGAAAACACTAGGAGCTTCTGGATGGGTGTTTTCAAAGTTAAGAGCCTCAGGAATGTAGACGGGGTGATAGTTAATGCTTTCTTTCTAATCAGCACTTCATTTTCTTGCTTGCTTGCTTGCTTTAAAAAAAACTCCTTATCTTCTTTTGGCCTCTTGCCAAAAATGAGAAACAGTTGACTTTATTCGAAATCTGTGCCTTTGCTTTTCACCAGCTCTGTGCCAGAAGGGAATTCTTTGTCATCAGTTCCAGCAAGTTCTACCCAGCTCCAGCGCTCACCTCCCCGCCTCTTGGAATCAGACATGCTTGGACCTCCTCGTCCTTGGCAGAGAAATCCTTAACTCTCCTTCCCTGTGCTTGCTCCTGCTACTGCCTTGGCAGCGCAAATGCAGCTGCAGCCGGCTTTCATTCCTCTTTACTGCCTATAACTACTGTGATTCACTTGGTTTTTTCCAGTGTTGTGCCTCTCATTAACTTGGTGGTTTTTCTGGCGAAAACATAGCTTTGACATTACTTTGTCTCAGGAATTGATCTTCAAACACAGCTCATGATAACCTCCCAGAAGAGGGCTTTTTCTATGCTCTGTATTTTAATTCAGCATTGCTATCATGACAGGCACCCAAGCTGTGCCATCCGACTCCAGTGAGAAGGTGTGGGATCCATTGCGGTGTATGGTTCCCGCTTTGCCTGTGAGGAATTTCTGAGAAGCGAAGTGTCTCCCTCTTTTTTCTGCCTTGCTCTCTTTGAACTGCGGTATTTTGGGGAGGGGGAGTCTTTGCACTCACTTTTCTGCTTTGTCATTTTGATTTGAACTTCTTTATTTACATAGATGGGGATGGTCATGCTGCCCCCTCTGGAATGTGTGGCCAATTACTTGAATTTTTATGGTTCTAGATTCCATGTCCTATTCATGGATGGTATTTCCATTGACTCCAAAAATGCATTCTCTTGGTCAGACCTTAGGGGTACGCCCAGCTTGCTCATGCATCATCCAAAGATGAGTAGTATTTGAGTTGTGCTCTTAACGTAATTTGTGGATTGCATTAAATATTTCATGTATTTACCTGCTGAGCGGCCAATACCTGTCCTGGTTCTTGTTTTTTCCTCTAGAATGCCACCCCACCTGCAGGCAGTGCCATGGCCCGTCAGAATCGGACTGCACTTCCTGTCACCCTCATGTCACTGTTAATGGTGGAAACTGCAGGACAAGCTGTAAAGAAGAGCAGTTCCTCAGTCCCGTGGGGTACTGTGCTGGTGAGTGGTGTTTCCTCATAGTCTCAGAACCAGTGGCCAGAGGCTGGCGGGTCTTCATTCCAGGCTTCTGAAGAGCTTGGCCGAGTAAGAACCCTTTTTTTCAGGAGACATTTGTTTCATGCCTGGGAACTCACTTCGTTGCTTCCTATCAGACATTTAGTAAATATTGATGGATTCAAAGGAAATCTTCTAACACTCTGGCAGTTTCTAAAAAAAAACCCAAAACTTAGAACCTCATATTAATGAAGGTTGGAGTCATGACAATAGTACCTTCTATGCATGCGGTGCACTTCAGCTTAGCAAAATGTGTTCTCAAAACAGTTTCTCTGAAGACCACCTCCCTTTGTCTGCGTTATTTCTCGCCTCTTGCTGTGCAGAGCCATTGCCATCAGGTCCAGGCACCAAAATTTGTGGATATTAACCCAAAAGTAAATCAGTTGTCTAAGGAGTTGGGATTTTTTCCTCCTCATTTAGGACTCAGGTCTCAAAAAAATAAATACATATATCAATTAGGAAAGGAGCATGGGATTTGGATAATGATGAAGGAGCTGTACAGTGTTTGTGGCTATCCATTCGTTCATGCAGCAAGTATCTCTTGAGTGTCTACTAATGGTCAGATGCTCAGAATACAAAAAAAGCGCTGAATAAGACAAGGACTCTGTCCTCAAAGAGCTAGTAGTCTGGAAAGAGCAATTTATAGGCTAGTGGGTCGTTATGTATTTCTTCACCCGACTCTTTCCAATTTAGGAGAAACTCAGAGATTTGCTTGGGCAGCTATTGGTACATCTCTGAAGGGCTTGCCAGGGAGGCATTCTGGGGTGCCACTGGGCAAATGAGAAAGTCAGGATCTGGGTGGACCCATACTGGGGGGGTTTACTTGTCCCTGGGCAGGAAAGAGGTATGGCCAGATGACTAGATCATAGCATGAGCAGGCACATTCAGTCTAGGGCAGCATTGCTATTTCAGTTGTCTTGTTTGGTGGTGGGGGCACAGGAAGTCAATAACAATACTCCAAGTCTATCTGGTAACCATGGTCCTAGGGATTGCTTCCTTTTTGCACATGACCTTTGCTTTAGACATTGGGGTCCAAAGTTTATATCCCAGAAAGATGGAACTGTCAAGAACAGGGCTCCAGCCAAAAATGCTGGAAATCAGGGCAAAAACCAATTGTTGTATAAGTTCAAAGGAGAGAGAAGAAAAAATATGGAAGGTATTATGGAGGAGATGGAACCTAAAGTTACTGCTTAATCTTAGGATTAAGTTAGACAGGCGGAGGTTAGGCACACTTTTTGGGTGGTCCACCAGGAGACAGGTGCAGAGGAAGAGCACGTGGGCATTCATGGCCAGTGGGAGGTCCAGTCTGGCTGAAGACTATGACTCGCATTAAGGCAAAGTACAGTAGATGAAATGGTTGGAAAAATGTAAGTTGGAACCAAGGTATAGGAAACTCGCAATTTCAGGCCAAAAAATTTGGATTGAATTTTGTGGGCACTACAGCCATGACAGTTTTGGAAAGGACTATGTTATGAGCAGGAAATATGCAAGCTGTGTGGGAGACGGACTGGAGCAAGGAAAGGCACCAGTCAGAGGGAGGAGTTAGAAGGTAGGATCTTCATTGTGGCTTTTCTATTTCCAACCTATTCAGCATGTGGACCTTAAAAATTTTATGCTGGGGGAAATTTTTAAAATAAATGTTTATATAAGGAGATTGAAAAAAAATTAATTTTTAATGAGCTCTGTTCTCTCCAATGTCCAGAGCCTCTTTGAGAGTAAATCAGGTGATTAGGAGTGCATTAATTTTTTAAGGGTAATGGGGGACCATTAGAATAAAGAATCATGGGACTAGGCTAAATGACTGTGGAAATCCCCAACGCCAGAAGAGCAGGTTCCACTGAAAATGCAGGGAAGGACAAAGCTTGACTGTCCTGGGCATCTGGGTATTAGGTGTGTTAAGTAAAGGTTTTAAATAAGAAAACCATTGTCCAGGAGTTGGAAATCTTTTGTTGAATAGAGATTGGTGTAAGAGTGCCTAGTACGGGGAAATTTGACCAGTAATTTCAGTTGTTGATCTTTCAGAGAAGTGCATTGATCTTGAAGTTTACTTTTCCAATAAATGTATACCATTTCCAATCACCTCCCACTTCTCTCTGTAGCATTGAAATGGATTTATTCATTTACTGCTTCATCAAACATTTATTAAGCACACGCTTCATGCCAGGCACAGTGCTGGACTCTGGGGATGCAAATGCTTGCATTCAAGAAACATAGAGTGTAAGAAAGCAGGGGATATGTGTTGAATATGATATTGATGTGGATATGAGCTAAGCCTGTGGGGCAAGACTCTGACCCGGACAGACGGTGGGGGTGGCAGGGCGGTATGTGTGTGTATGCACAGTGGGTATGGAAGGCTTTCTGGAACATTTCATAGCTGAGATGATTTTTGAAATATTGAGAGGGGTTTGAAGATTTGGAAGGGAGAGCATTCCAGAAAATGGGCCAAAGAATATTATCTATTCAGACACCAACAGAGTTCAGTAGAATGCCGGTGCTTAGTATGGGCGCGGTGGGACTTGAAGCAGAAGGAAGCAGGGCCAGATCATGGGGCTGTTGTATTTTATGTTTAAGGAAAACATACTTTGCCATCAGGTCTATGGAAGGTTTTTAAGGAGGAGGGTGTTATGGTCACATTTCTGTCATGAGAAAGATCTACGGAAAATTGCTTGCAGGGAGACCAGGCAGGGGGCAGAAAGGCCTTTTAGAAGGTAGTTGTAGGAGTCCAGATGGAAGATGAGGGCTTTTAATGAGGAAGTTGTTGAGAGAATGAAGAGACGAGCCTGGCTTCACTAAGTATTTATTACATTATGTTGGCCCATGTGAGGTTATGATTTTGTGAGCACAAATAGTCCAATAGTGGCAATTTCATTTTGTTCAACCTAATACAGTAGTTTCCCCCTTCTCTGTGGAGGATGCATTCCAAAACCCCCAGTGGATAGTACCAAACACATTATGTTTTTTCCCTTAAATACCTTTTCATGTAAAGGAAGCCCTTTAAGGCCTCTCATTGGCATATGCAAACAGCCACCATCATTGCTCTTGTACTTTGGGGCCATTATTAATTAAAATTAGGATTATTTGAACACAAGGCACTATGATATTGCAATAGCTAATCTGATAATCCAGATAGCCTAAATCAGGGGTCCCCAAGCCCCGGGTAATGGAGACCAATACTAGTCCATGGCCTGTTAGTACCCAGGCTGCACAGCAGGAGGTGCGCTGTGGACCAGTGAGCAAAGCTTTGCTCGCATTACTGCCTGATATCTGCCTCCTGTATATACCCCCACCCATCAGCGGAAGAATTGTCTTCCACAGAACTGGTCCCTGGTGACAAAAAGGTCGGGGACCACTGGCCTAAGTGACTGTGGGGCAGGTAACATATAGAGCATTGGTACACTGGAAAAAAGGATGATTCACATTTCTCGTGGGACAGTGTGGAATGATGCTAGGTTTCATCATGCTACTCAGAATGGCATGCAATTTAAGACTTATAAATTGTTTATTTATGCAGTTTCCCATTTAACATTTTCGAACAGTGATTGACCAAAGGTAACTGAAACCATGGAGAGCAAAATTGCGCGTAAAGAGAGATTACTGTCGAAGCATCGGAAGTTGCTGATCTCTCAACCCTGGGGCTGAGGGAGAGGGAATTTGGGGGATGATTTCCAGGTTTCTGGTCAGGTAAATTCAAAGGATGGGAGTAGCACTTACCAAGGGCCAAAATAATAAGAGAATGTATTTGCATTTGGACAGGTTGGCTATGGGGTGACCCCTGGACATCCAAGGGTAGCTGTCCAGGAGGAGGCTGAAGACCTAAGTGAGCACAGGCTTTCTAAACTGTAACTTCCAGGAACTTACCTGCTGTCTTTATTTTACCCTGGACCCCAAGTCCTGGATTCCTTCCTTCCTTCCTTCCTTCCTTCCTTCCTTCTTTTTTTTCTTTCCTCCTCTCCCTCCCCTCCCTCCCCTCCCTCCCCCCCCTCCCTCCCTCCCCTCCCCTCCCCTCCCCTCCCCTCCCCTCCCCTCTTCTCTTCTCTTCTCTTCTCTTCTCTTCTCTTCTCTTCTCTTCTCTTCTCTTCTCTTCTCTTCTCTTCTCTTCTCTTCTCTTCTCTTCTCTTCTTTTCACTGTAGTGTTGCTTGAGTCAGGTCCCAGTTAACCTCCTAGAACATTTCAGTGACTTTTAGCTAAACTCAGAAAGATGTTAGGAAGAGTCCTGTGATGACAGACAAGGCAGGAGTTAATCCGCCCCTGGCAGTGCCCACAGCGGAATGTCTTTTCATCACCCTTGGGAAGTGCTGGCACAGGGCAGCCCTGGGGAAGGACCCTCTCGGCTCCCTCTGTCACGTGTGAGCTTTGCAGGGTGGAGGGATTTACTCCCAGGATTTATTCTCTATCTGAGCTGTACCTAAGATCATCATCACAGACCTCTTAATTGCTCTTGGCTGTTTAAGAGAGAAAATTACATCTAATCTATCACACAGACAAGAATAAACACATCCTGGGAACAGGTCCAATAACCTCAATGTGTTATCACATATGGAGATATCATATGTGTGGGGGGTTTTTCCCTTCAAGTCTATCAAGGCAAATATACGGTTTGTGAGATTTGGACCAGGGCTGAAGGTTTCCAAAGGAGATAAATGAACTGGGGTGAGAGGCCGGAGTGGGTAAGATTACAGCAGACATGGTTAAGTGTTATGAAAAGCCAGGATTTTTCTTCATAGATTTTTCTTTTTGTATTTTGCCCACATCTCAGCAACATCATCCAAAAATTCCAAAGCCTGTGGTGCTTTCTCCTTTTGTTCTTCTCAGCTAAAGCTATTCTTCTATTTATAGAAGGTTGTGGAAATTAAATAGAAAACATGAGTGAGAAATACCCAGATGCTGATGCAGAAAAAGAAAAACTGCCTTGGACTTTGTAGACTGACCTAATGGAATGGCTATA